AAGCAAGATCAAGACAATCAAGTTAATTAGGATTCTATTTCCTTCTTGCACAATAATATCTAGATTGTTTAGGAATTTAATATTTTATTGCTTTAATAAGTTTCCTAGGTAGATTAGAATTAGTCATAGTTAGGATCTATAAATAGGGAGCATCCCTCATTGTTTTTCATGTCTTGGATTTGATGAAATAGAAAAGAACGTTTGTTCGAAACCATGTGTTAGGATTCGTGAGATTCGATCATACAAATCGAATTGGTGAGGCTAAGACCTGAGCCAGTTCAAAATCGAGGGAGCGAGGCTAATTACTGAGTGAACTCAAGTATCGTGAGAGAGTTAGGCTAATAACCGAGTCGATCACACCTATCGTCGAGAGCAAGGCCGTGGCGAAGCTGTGTTCGAGACAAGTCGAGGGTAACGCAACACATGATCCTTCATCATTGGTGCTTTCATTGAGAGTGATTGATTGTGTGTTCGTTAAGCTTTTTTCTACCCCATTCTTTTTCTTTTTGGTTCGATTCTTTTTGTCCCTTTTGTTCGAATTTTTTTGAATTTTATCCTTTAATTTTCGAAAAATTTCGTGAGTATCAAAAAAAAAAAAAAAGTGTCATCTAGTCTTTTGTTATTTTTTCCTCCCTTTGGTTCGAATTTATTCGAATTATATTCTTTTTCCTTTTCAAAATTTATAGAGTCTTAAAAAAATGTCTTATGTACCAATGGACGAAATGGATTGGGAAGATCTCGAGTTATTGGAGTGTTTGGAAAGAGAACTTACCCCATGGGAAAGCACGTATCTAGACGAACTCCATGAGCGAAGAAATCGAGAAGAATACGAGCGACAACTCGTAGAGGCCCGAGGAGCAAGAGAGGGGGAAGTTCAAAACCGTGAGGATGATGGTGCGCTGAATTTTCTAACTCTTGAGGACAAGAAAAGTCTTGAAGAGGAGGGGAATGATACGGAAGTGGTTATCAACCCAGGCGAGTCCGACAAGGAAAATGGCGATGGTCTCGATATATGGCTGGGAAACATGTTGGAGGACCCATTAAGCCCGATATATCGACCTTCATGCAAAAGAGACTGGCCAAAAGGATGTGGTCCACAATCCAAGCTTAAGCCGAAGAAACGCAAGACCAAGCGAGCCTGAAGGAAACGCAAGGCAAGGGCTAAGGAATCACGTTGTTGGTGTAAGCCTTGCACAAGGAAGAGACGAGCGCGAAAGAAGGAGGCTAGAAGGCGGGGTTTGCGATGGGTTG